AAACTTTCCAGCCTTAATCGACCCAGTCAACCCTCATGCAAATTGCCTTCCTCCCAACCTTCCCCCAGATGCATTCCCTTTCTACAATCTGCTTTCACACAATCAATAAAAAGTGAAACTGCGATTGCACAAACATTCTTTTATTTAATCTGGTTTTATCCTGACAGTCAAACTGAAAAATCAAAGTAGGGATGCATGCAATATACTCAGTCAAAACGCAACAAGGAATACAGATAGGGGTTATACTGGGTTTATAGAAAGAAAGCAATGGTTACCTTTCAATTCCCTGCCTCCAGAACTCCTCCTGAGTTTCGGCAGAGCTCCCGCAATCGGTGGCTAAACTCCCCACAAAGTCTTGCTGCGGTCCTACGGGTTCCAATCCCGCCTGCCGCCTTCCTCTCACAACAGGATTAGACTTAGACTTAGAAAGGCAGAAAGAGGGCTTTGAGACTCTCGAGATACAAGGAGGGGACAACTCAACTCTCAGGAGAGGGCCTTGATACCTTCACTCGCCTGAGGGCCCCCGCAATGGTGGCCGACACACGCAGCCGCTAGCAAAGCCGAAGTTAAACTGTTGATGAAACAGTATCCTGACGAAGTTCCAAGTCGCAACAATAACCCCGTAGCCAGACTTTATCCCCTTCCCTGAACTCTCATTCCCCTCTCTAGATCAGTCTTTGATAAGTCGCACATCGAACACATCAACAAAATGTTGTAGTCTCACATCCCTTCCCACTGTGCATAGCAACACTCGACGAATACTGATAACTGGACGTGCACTGGAACAGCTGGCCCAAAGGGCAGCGAATGATGTCGACGCTGTAACCAGCTCGGCCTATTAGTGATGCAGCAGCAACTGCCCTGCATCAGCTAACAGTCAACCCTTCACCGTGTAACTGGCTCGCTGCTGCCCAGTACAACAGTGAGCTGTGATGCCATTCGTCGAGTCAACTTGCAGTCTTAGTAGCTTTGCTCACTCGGCGGGGGAGTGACACCCATACTGATAAGATGAGAGGTATACCGGCTAGCCAAAGTATCTGAGATGCCTGCAATTGTCCTAGTGCAGCTTGCTCAACAAGTTGGGCACTGCATTGGTCAGCAAGCAAGTCCGCCTTTCACAGTTGGCCTACCGCCGCCCCAACTCATAAGTAGCGTGTCGGCCAAATAGCAAGTCTACAACCTCGCATCATGTTCCGTTCGCCCCTCGGACTTCGCCACTCAGTAGGGACCGAATTGCAGCGACCCTGACCAGTGGTCAAATTCGTAGCCCTCTGTCCACAGCCCGTAATCCACAGTCTACAGTCCGTAATCCGCAGCTCATAGTCCGCCGCACCTGCTCTCTCAACTGACTGCGAATAACCAGCCTGTTAGCTAGTTTGGCTGTAAACTGCCCACCTGTTGCCTCGTTTAGCTGCCTGTGGCCGGCCTTACAGTGAGCCCGACCTCTTCTTCCCTTATGGCTCTTGGCACTCAGACTACCACTATTCGGCCTGTAGCAGTCTGCATGCCGGCAATACCCCCTATTGACATCCGTAGCGATCACTGCGGTGCCTGACGATGTCTACCACTAGACCAGGTACATACTCTTTCCCCTTCTTTCTGCATCTGCTCGCTCGACTCTGCTGCGAACGGCCCTACCTGCTCCTCGCTGGCTGCACACAAACCCGCCTACTCTTCTGGCTGCGAACCGCATGCTCCCGCTGCATTGGCTGTGAACAGCCCTCGCCCGCTGTACTGGCTGTGACCAGCTCGCTCTGGCTCTCTCCCTCTCTCCTGAGCGCACGTGCATCACTGGGCACATTTACCCCTCCGCCACACCTGTAACATGCCGTGTGTCAGGTCGCAAAAAAAGCCAGATACATACATGTCCGGAGGGAGAGGCCCAGCAGAAGCACGGCTACGAGGGTCGGGCAGCGACCCCCCCTCGTCACCGATCCTCTCCCGGTGCGTCTGCACCCCACGCCTGGGCACGCCGGTTCACAGGTAAGTCTCCAGCCCCCCTCCCCGCCTCATACTATCTCCGCCAATAGAACAAGTCAAGTCGAATGCTTGTGTCGCCAAAACATAGAATTATACACCGAGCGACAGGGGAAGGCTGCTTCGATAGATAGAATGAGCAAAGATAAGTAAGGAATCTTTCGCTCGATCACGGCCAGATGCATCCTGCACTTTTGTCGTTCCTCCCCAGCGTAGCTTAGGATCTTTATACCCCTGTACCTTCTTAGTAACTCTCGAATCCGACTTCATCACCGGCTTCGCCATCTTCAATCTCCAGATCTCACCCCCTCCCTTGTCTAAACTTGTTGGGAATCCGCCGAAACGAGCGATTCCAAAATCGCCATCGCCATCTCCCGATACTCTCGTGCAGCTTCGTTCTCACATAACTCCAATTCTACTTACTCTTCCCTAAAACTAACATCATCATTAAACTCGCAATACCCGAAAACCTTAACCTATCACCTTCTTTCACTCAATTCCATCAAGAATCGAGTGAAATCCCGAGTTTTCTTTCTCCATCTTTTCTCCTCCCGCCATATATCCGCGCGGCCCTTTTCTTCTCTATCTCCCTATCCCCTACCTTTCTTACTAATCTAACACCGGAATCGGATTCGTCTACCTCCAAAACCCCAACCTACTACTTTGGTTCACTCGATTCCGTTGGGAATCGAGCGAATTAGACTTATCCCGCTCCGCCATAGCCATCTTTCATCTCTCCCATCCCCGTGCACCTCACTCTCGTCTACCTTCAGATCTACTAACCCAAAGGCCAAACTAACCCTGCCAACCGAGTCGCCCCACATCCAAAACACCTCTGCAGCAACTTTCCCCGCTCGTTTTCACCAAGGAACGAGCAGGGCACGTGTTCTTATCTTCTGCCATGCCTACTCCCCGCTGCTTCTTTTTCAGTCTCTGTTCCCGGATGCGCCTGGCGCCTTCCCCCGTCCGGGTTCATCCACCGCTGTATCACTTACCTTTCCCAGTTACTCCGCTGCCCGTTTCGCCCATTGCAGTTAGCGCAGCGCCTAGCAGCCGTAGTGACCCGGCCCGACAGCCCCGGCCACTTCGCTGCTCCTACACCAGCTACCTCTCACTCTGGCTCGGTTTCCGCCATAGCCTGCGCCCATTCTGCATGCATCTGTCGCAACTCCCCGTCCAGGTTCAGCTCTTCCCCTCAACGCCTTTAGCACCCGTAGCTTCCTCTTCTTCGATGCCATCTCCAACCACCCCGCGCACTGCCTCCATCCTCACACTCTTATCCTACTTACGAGCGTTCCTGGCACAGATTCATGCCCGGGTGCAGACCTGCGCATTTCACTCTTCCTGGCTGCAGAGCCGCTCCTGGCTCATTTCTTCTTCACTGCGATCCTTGCCTCGGCTCTCTGTTTTGTTCGCCCCCGCCTCGTGTTAGCCCAGTCATCTTTGAAGGGCGTTTGGCCGATGCAGGCCGTAAGCCGGCGGTCCTCAAAGTTGGACTCCACTAAGAGAGTGTGTAGATACTTACTTGCCGACTCGACTAGCCCAACGATCAGTCTGCAGCAATGTTGCTGCGAGTCTCTCTACGGAGTTTCCTGTGGTCAGCTCCGCCCTGGTCTGCTCCGCCCAAGCGGTGCTGACCACCTCTCGGGTCCACAAAGAGTGGAGCCCACACGCCTCTCACAGCAGCCCGTGGTGTTAGGGGCGCGGGCCTACAACAAGTCGGCATCGAGAGCCTTGGCTAAGCGGGTCCTGGTGCCAATCTTGGTGATTGCGGCGACATGCGAATTAGAACTTGGAGGGTCGAGGTGTCCCCTTCTGCGTCCAGGAGTGGTTTGCCACCTTTCGTCCCCCAACGGGCACGCTCACTTCACTCCGGCAGAACCCGCTACCACCTCAAGCTAGCACCGACCAAACTCCCACTTAGCAGGCTGGCCGCGGGACTGAGGCGCGGCCTGCTGCAAGGCCTATGTGTGGGCCTTTTGGTAAACTAGGTCCGGAACGGCCCTCGACGGTAGCAGCCAATATTCATTGGAGAACTTTAAAGACCGACGTAGGGAGGGGCTCCCCACGATCCGCAGTTTGCCGAGGCATCGCTGGGATCTCCCAACAACGCCCCGGACCATTTTCAAGCCACCGTGCCTGGGCATGATCCACCATCTTACGGGTCCCGACAATATACCCACACTCAAAATCTCGCGGCAGATCGCGGCTGGCCGGTGCACTTGTAGCGACCCCTGCCATTCAGTTTTCTTTCACTTCGTGGACTTAACAACCCACCTGCTCGCATGCAAGCTGAACTCCTTGGTTCACGTTTTCAATGCCGGCATGATAGAGGAATTTCGCCAGCACCCCGAACGCGCAAGAAGCCCATGGGTCAGCGACAAGAGGCGTGCGCTCAAGGTCCTCGACAGTTGCGACGGTCCTTAAATCCGGCGCCGCGTCCAAGTCAAGGAACGCCGGAGCATAAAAATAATAATAATAATACATCGTTAAGTAATAAATTACTTAGGAAATTCCAAGCGTCAGAATATGACGAACGAGGAAAAAGAAAACGTTAGCACGGTTCTAACGCCGCTGACGGCAAAATCAAGGGGGATAGCCCCACCGGACCCTCATCCCCTCGATCCCTTCGCACTACTCTGATATTCCCTCGTCGTCGTCGCTTGATCTCGATCCCTGAATCTCCCTGATGAAAGTCTGGCGCCGTGGCCGCTAGTGCTAGGCCCAAGTGTTGGTCTTGCTCTTATTGATACCAAAAAAATAAACCAATACTGCGTGACGCGCAGACCTACCGAATCGTTTTCAGAACCACCCTGTTGTCGATGTCGTTCTCCGCACGTACGCACGAGTCACCGGTAAGTGCACCAATCAAACGACAAAAATCTATTTAATCCTAGTTTAATCAAAAACTAAAAATTCGGCCGACGCCCACGCCGGTTCTTCAGTCATCAAAGATAAAAAGAAATCACGCTTGCCTTAAGTCTACGCGCCCACACACTCTCTTCTGTAGTCAATTGTCTGGTGAACGAAAATCACAGACGCAGCCGCGCCTCCGCGATATAATTAAACTTTAAACCAAACTTGTTCCTGTCACCTACAAAAACCAGGGCGGATCGCCGGATACCCTTGTAAGGGTATTCGCACCGACAGCGCAAAGATCAGGTCTTCGCAAGAGAGCATCTGCTGCCTTGTTCGAGGAGCCCGGAATGTGCTTGGAGGTGAAGTTGAACTGGTCAATTAAGTACATCCACCGACCGATCGTGCTGCTCACCGTGTTTTGCGTCTTGTAGTACGTCAACTGATTGTTGTCGGTTGCCCACGTGAATCGCCAACGCCCGCGGAGAAAGTGACGCCAACGCTCAAGTACGGTGACAAAAGCTAGCAGTTCCTTCTTCCTCGCATCATCAAGAGTGTTGATGGGCGACACCTTTTGGCTGAAGTACGCAACCGGATGCCAGTTTGTGCCGTCATGCTGTTCCAAAACTGCGCCAATGCCGTAGCCGGAAGTGTCTGTAGTCACTTTAGTAGGCAAGGTCGGGTCATAGATGCTTAAGACGGGAGCTTGAAGCAAAGCCGTCGTCAGCGTGTGAAACGCATGCCGGGCTTCGTTACTGAACTCGAAGGGCACCAAGGGGGACTGAAGTCGTGACAATGGTGCAGCAATGCGTTGAAATCCTTTGACGAAGCGCATGCAATATAATGCCAAGCCGAGAAAGGAGCGGACGTCGGTAGTACACTTGAGATCCGGCCAATCTTGAATGACTTGTACCTTGTCCGCGAGCGGACGAATGCCTTGTGGCGTAACGTAATGGCCTAAGTACTCCAGCTCTTGCTGGGCAAACTCGCACTTGTCTTGGTTCGCCTTGTTCTTGGCGATACGGAGCCGCTCCAATATGGCGCGAAGGTGCTCGAGGTGCTCGTTCAGTGTCTGACTATAAACCAAGATATCATCCATGTAAATGAGTATGGTGCGATTGAGCAAGTCGCGAAATTCCGTCGTCATAGCCGCTTGGAAAGTAGTCGGGGCATTGGTGAGACCGAAAGGCATGACAATCCACTCAAAGTGCCCATATTGCGTCTTGAACGCGGTCTTGTACCTATCTCTTGGCTGAATCTCGATCTGGTGGTATCCGGACTTGAGGTCAAGCTTCGAGAAGTACTTGGCGTCGCCTAGTCGCTCGAGAAGGTCATCGATCCGAGGGAGAGGGCCGACGTTCTTGATCGTTTGCGCGTTTAGTTTCCGATAGTCGATACACAAATGAATGTCCTTGTTCTTCTTCCGGGCGAAGAGAACGAGAGCACCGTATGGCGAACAGCTAGGGCGAATCCAACCCTTGGCCAAGAGGTCGTCTAATTGTGCCCGAAGCACTCGAAGCTCCTCTTCGCTCATGTGGTAGATACATCCGCGCGGAGGTACGGCGTCGTCCTCGAGAGATCTGGGGGCCGATCTGGTATGAATCCGGCGGGAGCTTGGAAGACATCCTCATAGCCGTCCAACAACTCAATGATGCGTGGGTCCGACGTATCCGTCTTGGGCTGATCACTGGGCGGGAGGGCATGAAGAAAACATATGCCCATCTCCTCGATGTCGTTCTGCCAGATGGATTGGCGAATGCTCGCCGCAGATACCACGTGACAACCAATCAAAGGATGAGGAAGCGGCACCGTACATGGGATTATTTTGCCACACCGATCATGAACGTGAACGGTGTGTCGATAGAAGTTCACCGGATGGTCTTCGCTTTGCAGCCACAACATGCCTAGGATCATATCGAACTTGGTGTCCAATATGTCGAAAGACACAACCTCGCATGCTAGCGGGGCAAAGTACACGCGCACCGAGTCAACGCATTGGTCGATTGACTTTTGGGTGTGACCATCGGCCAAAGTGACGTGCGTAGGCTGGCTTTTCCTTCGAACGCGCGGGCCAAGCCCGGCGCGTGCCATGAAGTCTTGGCTGATGTAGTTGCGAGTCGCTCCACAATCGATCAAGGCACTGCAGGTCACCTTTCCTATCTGAATGCAGATGTAGAGGAGCGACGCGTCGATGTCGACGTACCGTTGCGTTGCGTACTCGCGATCGATCTTCGCAAGGTAGTTACGAAGGTCAACAACCGCTACTCCACCGTCCGTCGACGGAGGTGGTACTGCAACGTGCAAGTATTCACGCTAATGCGGTGTTGGCAAAGAACCGGTGGAGGGAAGAGGCAACCATTGGAAGTCCTCAACTGTCAACGGGTCGAGTTCCTCAAGTCTCGCCTAAATTGACGGGTCCTCCGATAGAATGGTTGGCGAAGCAACCGGTTCGTTGTCCGATGGCGGAACTACCGCGCATGCGCTTGAATCTTGCACGTGGAGAGGCTGGTTCAACGGTGGGACCAGCTCGACAACATAGTTCTCAAACTCAATGCGAGAACTTGCGACTACCGCGGTGTCACCGGATGTGAGAGAGACTGCTAGCAAGGCAGCCGACTCCTACGGACTGGGAAGTGTTGTCGCTGCACTTCCCGCAGTGCTCAGTTTCCCGAGCCCGGACGTTCGACATTTTCCTTGTCCTTGTCGAGGCAGGAGCTTGTGATGTGTTTGGTGCTGTTGCACCACAAACAACATCCCCATTTTTGTCTCAATTTGAACATGTTTTCGGTAATACCGAACCTCGTCCATGGTGATTGTCGTGCTCCATCCGCCGACGCTGGTTTCACCTTTTGTTTCCCCCCTCGGGGTCTTGAGCGTTGCGGTGGTATCGTTGCTGCCACATCTGCGTCACTTGATGTGGACGCGGCTGCGTGGTCCTCACTTGTTCCTTGCTGGACTGTTGTTACTTGCGGCGTCCGTTGACCTTTGCCTTTCTCCACATAACCGGGTTGTTGGCGGGACTCGTTGGCTGCACGCCGGTTACCTTGGATTAGTTCTCTTGCCTTTGAGATCATGTCATCAAAGGTCTCATACTGGAATTCGCTGCCCAGCGCAGCTGTCAAGGCGTCGCATGACCGACCGAAAAATTCGGTTCGGATTGCTTCGAACGGTAAGTTCAACTCCGGGGTGGCGACAAGTTTCTGCCACTCCGTCAGCCACTCCTATAAAGGTTGCTGGCCTTGAAACATGTGGAAGACCTTGTTCAAGGCGTGACGCTTGTCATTGTTGACCATGAACCGGGTCTTCCACTTCTTCTCAAATTCCTCCCACGTGATCTTGGTGTGGAGGGTGGCGATGGTACATTCCAATGTTACGGCCATGTGCGTCATGAAGGCCTGCGCCCCTCCAATGAGTTGGAGGTAGAGTGCGTCAAGCCGCCGCAGTGCTGGAGTGTGATGCACGTCCGCCGCTGCGTTGCATGCTATCCACCATTGCAGCGGATCGGTCTTGTGATAATCATTGAACTTTTTGATCTTTAAGTTCGGCATCTTCCATGCCTTGGCGACAGCGGCCGGTCGTTGCTGAACGTGGTCGCTGAGCGTCTGCAGTTGATTGCTGTCTGTTGACGCTCCAGCAAACTTGCTGATGTCGCCGAGGGACGCGACCACTTGGTTGATCCGCTCTTCAAGTTGCTTGGCCTGCGCGACCAAAGCTGGGCTGCAGTCTACCACTGCACTGCCCGTTGACGCAGCTGCCGACAGTTGTGCCACCCCCATGCTGACATTGGTCTGCAGCTGGTCGTTGAGTGTCTGCTGCTGGCTGTTGGCGGCGTGTAGTGTGCTGATCTCGGCCTGCAGGTTAGCGATTTTCTTGCCCAATGCCTTGAATGTTGTTTCATGGCGGTTGAAGACCTGCCGCATGGCCAGCAGTTCACGTTGCTGCCAATTGCACGTGTACAACAGATTCCATCAAAAATGTTGTGGCTTCCTTGTTTCTCTCGTCCTCGGTTGGCTCCTCTTGTTCTTCATTTGCTTGGAAATGTTGCTATCGGAGTACACTCCGGTACATGGCTTCGTCGTTGGCGAGCTCCATTGTAGCTTGGTAACGGACTTGGTTCTGACTTGCTTCGACCTGCTGCTGTTGCAACCGTGCGGCTGCTGCAGCTTCTGCTGCAGCCTGCTGACGTGCTGCCGCTGCCTCTGCCAACTGGCGTTGAATTTCCTGCTGGTGGGCGGCTTCCTCCTCTTCCCACTTGCTGAGTTCAGCTGCCGTGGTCTCCGAGTATATCTGGAGCCGTTTGAGAAACGCTAGAAGCGGTTCATCGGCCTGCTGAACTGGGATAGGAGGGGCAACCGGCCTCTTGGGGCTGGCTTGTGCATTGACGTCAGCGGTAGCAGCCATGGTCGTGCGTCGCCTGCGTGGAATCCGAGAGGTCTTAGGTCCCTCTTGAGGCTTGGCTCCTGCGGATCCGCGCTCGGCCAGTCGTTGGCTGCGGCACATGAAGTACTCTGGTCTTCATCTGCTGCTGATGTGTCACCGATGAGGTGGCACCTGCTGATGTGGCACTGCTGAGGTGGCCGTTGCTGACTGGGCATTCGGTTGTCGTGGCACGCTAGGTGGCACGCGGCTGATGTGGCAATCTACGTTCGTGGCCTGCTGCTGATGTGGCATAATGCTGACGTGGCTGGAGACTGATGCCTATAGTACCGAGAGGAGGAGAGAGAAGGTAGGGTGTGCAGGAAGGGCAGAGAGGCAAACAATGCACAAACAGTCCCTTTCTCCCCTGACCTCGAAATTTGACACTAATCAAAAGAAGAAAAAAAATTCCCCCCCCTACGAAAATTTTGAATTTTGAGAATCTCTATACTTTTAAAGCAAGCAAAGGGCCCAGCGTGACGCCCCCGCCGGGCCCAGCAGAAACCGGCGCGGAGGCGGTGGGTCCCAAACGGCACGGCAGTGGAGGGGCGCGGGACAAGGAGGACGCGAGACAGCGAAAATGCGGGCGGAGCCGGAGGCCCTGGGAAAGGGAAGAGGGTGGTGGCAGTGGTTTGTGGAGGCCCTGGGAAAACCGCGGCGCGCGGAAATTGGCGGTGCCGGTTCGTGTAGGGGCAGGGCAAGGGAAAAATGGCGCAGGCGATAAGGGCACGCGGGCTTTTTTGCGTGGGTGCGGGGTAGCATGGTGCGGTGCGTGCGCGGGCCTGCAGGCTTTTTCCCCTGGGCGCGGGACAAGGGAGGGTCTGTAGGGGGGGTACGGGCCACGGTAGTTATCGTCTCTCTCTCTCTCACACACACACACACACACACACACACACACACACACATACACACACGAACGATTCATTCCGATTTTGCTAAAAACGTGGCAGTGTATATTTCCACGTTTCAGCGGAAGATTCATTCCGTTTCTGATCATCCTATCGATGGAATGTGTGTGTGTGTGTGTGTGTGTGTGTGTGTGTGTGTGTGTGTGTGTGTGTG